GGCTGCTTATGTATTGTAAGTTGCTTTAGAGGGAGTATCACATTAGCACTGTGCCAGGTCCATCTTTTCTATCAACTTTAAAGGCAAAGCAGTCAGACACAGCAACATCTATTTTCAACTCGCCAGAAAACACACCATCAATGTCTCTGTAAATTGCAAGTATATCTTTCAGTCACATCATAAATTGCATGTCAGCCTTTAGAAACAGCTGAAACAGATCACAGCTTAAAGTACCAGGTGCTGATATATATACATTTTTTCAATCACATTACAGAGCTCTACCTTTGATTATGATCACAAAGGGAACAGGTGAACCCATCATTTACCTCAAGTAGCTAACCAAGAAGAGAATACTTTGTTTGCTCTTGGTTATTAAATAGTATTAGTTAATAAGTGTCAGCAGACACTTCTGTATAACTTCTCTTTTTACTTAATGAACCAAAAGGGAATAAGAGATAAAAGATGCAAAAAATAAGTTTTAACTTTATAAGAAGAGACAGCAACTTCCTCAAGGTCAAAATATACACTTGGAATATATGTTATTTCGTGATGCAAATGTAAGAAGAAATTATATACCAGATAATCAAGCAATGCCACCGTTTTAATCAACAACTGTTCTCAGATGAAGTGGAAGTAGCAATTATTTTACTACAATGAAAACTAAAAGTGCAATGCAATTTTCCCGTCTCTGAACAAATAGCACATCTATAGAATGTTCCACGTAACCCTTAATACTCTGTGAAATAAAAATGTGCATGCCATAACTCCACAGGGAAGGTTCTACCATTCACACTGGCAGAAGGAGAGGGGAGCAACGTCAGGCGTTATGGCCAAAAGCCTTCAGTCACAATCACATGAAGCGCTTTGTGCTACAGATACCCCTCAGATTAAAATAAATAACATTTCCTCCTTAAGGTCATCAAATTAAAATCATTCAGGACAGACCCCTAAGATCCTACTGGACAAAATGTAGGGCTCAAAAAATCCTGGATTACCCAGCTTCCCCACTCAAGGTATCTGTTTTCTTGCGTGCTCATGGCTCCATCCTTCCCCTAAGGCAAGACCCAAGGCAGCCCTAGGTGTCCTGAATGCAAAGAAAGGCTTGACATGGACAATCCTGGTTGGAGAGGAAGAGAGAAGAAAGCCTAGTGTGTCATCTTGTTCCCCGACAGGGAGGAAATGACAGAAACCATCTTCAGAAGGGAAGAGAAGAGAAACACACAGGAGGTAGGTGTACGCTAACAGCGATAGGGAGGCAGAGCAAAATGCACTATAATCTCCAAATTTCCACACACGGTGAGAAAACTAGTGTGGGAACAGGAAGAAAGTCCTCTAAACTTCAAAAAGTGTAGCACAGAGCCTTTGAGGACAAGCCCATTCTGAATTACAATGGAAGAAACATGAAAAACACTTTATTTCTGCAGTACTGTTTTCTATACCACTAAGATATAACACAGTACTCTTCTGAGCCATCAAATCCCTTTCATTCATTTGTTTGTTGGATGGTTATTCACAGGAATGGCAGCTTTTATTTCAACAGTATAGATAAAAGTATTGCAGTGAAATTTAAATGTCAAAGAATACATACTCAAATGTCAAATACCAACAGACAAATGCCAACAGAGAAATGTCAGAAATACACCCGTGTCTCCCACTGAATATAACTATATCTGCACAAACGCAAGACACAGCATGATGTGTAAAAGCAAGAGTTTTTCTGCAGTTCCTCTGGGATGGTAACGCCACTGGTGTCAATAAAATCTGTACCTGGCAGCAATCGGACTGCATTACTCCAAGTACCTGACTCTGGCAACACATATAGCCTAAACAATCCACGGTCGGCAAGGTGACGGATGGCATTTACAGACAAAATGGTACAAAACTTTTATTTCAGGCAAATCCCACTCCTGAATTTGCTAACTTGTCACTCAATGAAGGACCCCAACACAATGAACTTCCACAGCAATGCTCCCACTGCTTTCCAAGTATGACAGTCGCCCACGAAAGCTGAAGAAGGGGACTCGCAGGCAGTTTCTGCTAGATACATGGCTTAATGTGACCAATACAAAAAACACAAACAAGAATTCTTGGTGTTTCCTAAACTGTTTGCTCTTTTTGAGTCTTAGAAATATTAACCTGTGAAACTAAGTGATCTTTTCAGAAGTAACCAAATTACGCCTGTCCCGATAACTTCAATGGGCCTTTTGTCATGATTTCACCCTTCATTATCTCCTATAAAAGTACTTGGAAATGTGTTAATTAGGGAAGATATATTTGTTTAGAAATTTCAGTCAGTCTGCTAATTGCAGCTGTTTCCACTACAGTTGAGAAATAAAAATGGTTAGGTAGTTTTGTAGTCAGACCACTAAATACATGAAAATCTGAAGTCCACTTTAATTAGTGTAGCTAACAAAAATATATCTGACTCCTGTAATTATTGTGATTTGCTTCCAACACTAGTGGCTCATACACTGTAAAGTAAAATCTAGTCAAAGATAAAATATGTGAACTTTTATCCAAAGAGTAAAACCAACATATGCTATTTTCCCCTCCAAAATTTTCTTCTCTAGCTCTTAGGGAAAAGGTTTTGGATCCCCAGCTTGTTTTTTTAACTTTGTGACATTGATTATAAATACTATATTTATTTCAAATCATTTTACTTTTCAATTTAGTGAAAAAATACAATAATTAGAATTATTTTGAAATTTTTTTTAAGAGATGATTCCAGGAACAATTATCACATTCTCACAATGTATACAGATATTTTTTTCTAAAGAAAATTCATTTCTCTACACCAAGACCCTTTCTAAAGCTTTCTTTGGATGCCCGAATGCTGTTTAGAAATACAATTGAAACAGATTAAATCTGTTCTGTTCTGGACACTTTCTTCTTTTTAACCAGCTGCAGCACATCACAAAATTCTAAAGCATAGACATTCATACTGCAACCTTCAACAGGAAAATTTTCTTATAATCTACATTTAATTCTAAATACTCAAACATAAGACGTAAGATACTGGAAGTGTGTATTTTTTTAACTTTTCTTATCTCTTGAACAGCGTCTTGTGACACTGAGTTTCATGGTCTAATTACATTCTGTGTAAAACTCTATTCTCTTTGACTAACTTCAAATCCTTTTCCTTTCAAAGACAGTGAATATCTCTTTGTCCTTGAACTATGATAAAGAGCAAACAAGGAAGTACCAACAGTCTTTTTGAATCTACCTAATTGTTTTGCACAACTTATATGTGTGTCCATGGTCGTTAATCTCTTCTTCAAAAGTAAACTGTAGCAGTTCAAATTAGCAATATAAATCTAATTTACACCTTCGGAAAACAGTTAGAAAGGCTAGAAAGTATTTTTGTATTTCTATATTTCCAAGACCTTTCTGTGGATCCCTCTCTCTCTTCAAAGGCTAGAAAGTATTTTTGTATTTCTATATTTCCAAGACGTTTCTGTGGATCCCTCTCTCTTGTCTTTTTGTGAAATGGAAGAACACAATTTAATGCTTCACTCAGACATTCACCCAGACAGGCCTGAAGACAAACCAGCCAAAGTCAACCAATTAAATTAAATGAAGAGATACAGATTTGTCTTAGGAAAGACTACCTGGAGTCTCTAAAGAATAAAGAGCTCCTTGATGCATAGCATGGGAAATAAGTCAAAATATGTTGAAACACTTTGAATTTATAGGTGTGAGAATAAGGACTCATCCAACATTCTGGTCACCTAAAGACTCTGTGGAACACATCTCCAAATATCAACAACATCCAGTTCCGTTTAGTTTCTGAAGCATATTTCAGGATCTCTGCCCAAGGTGGCATAGCTATAGGCACATGTGTACATTAAGGTATTGACAACAGATGGAACAGCAGGAACAGAACAACAATTCCAATGAATAGCAAAGGACACATTTCAGGAGTTTGGAGCCACTTTTAACTTTTTATTTCTCTCTCCCTTCTTTCAGAGCACTTATCTGTTACTGCAGAAGGTATGCAGACAAATGATGTGCTTCATCATATAATGACGCTGACACATGGACCCAGTTCACGTATATTAAGATAACTTTCTCCATCATTTGCTTTCAATCACTTGAGGTTTCTCATATACAAAAAACAGTGTGATCTGATACACTAAATGAAAGGATGTTGGTATTATCCTTCTGGAGGTCTGTCTTTGCAGGAGAGTTTTTCCTGGAAAAGCCTATTAGTCTTTTATTTTCTTAAGAGGTACCACATGATTTTTGCTACTTTTGCCATCCCAGATGGGCAGCTGTCCAAAGTGAAGGATATGCATTGCAAATAAAGACATGCTTCCACCAATCCTTACACAGGACTTAATTTTTAAATTTTTTTTTTTTTAGACTAATTGAAATACTAATGTAAAGTAATTTTGCTGGAGTTATACACAATTTCCTCAAACAACCTAAGTTCAATTATTTGGACTGTGTCTGGCAGCTGAATACATAACATTACACTTATTCTGTAAAAGTGAATTTCTACTAAAACATCGTGTCTTATTTCATGAAGGCAAAAGATTACAGAATTTTTGCCCATGTTATAACAGAATTTCTCTTTCTGAAAATACGAATTTGAATCATCTAACAGTTGCAGCATCCCGCTTTGACCATAAATACATAGTATCAATTTGGGTGCTCTAAACATAATTTAATGTAAAATTTGCTATTTTGGAAATGGGTTGTGAAGGTTACAAAGCAACAGCTTTCCCTAGTCTTCTGAGACAGTTGACCAGCAGCTTAACACATTCTGTATTATAAGCAAAACCTTGATCAACATGACCTACTACAAGGCTTCTTTGCAATAATGCAACAGATGGGTATCTAGAAGTTCAAGATTTCTCTCCCATTTCTTATCCTCTTAACAATACACAACAACAGGTTATCTGCAATCAAACACTTTTCTACTAACATAGAACATAAGGAAGTTTAAAAAAAAAAAAATCAGTAAAAATATTCTTTTGTTTAAATATATGTAGCCTCACCTTGCGGATGCCTCTGCCAAGATCTTCTCCATAATTTGTCCCCAAAATTTCAAAATGCACATTGGGATTCCCCCCATTTTCTGCAAACTCCAGTTCTCCAGTTAAGCCATTCACTCCACCCTATTGGAAAAAAAAGGAAAATGGAGTGAAAACTCAAAACTATCCAATTATAACAACCTTTTGTTTCTCCAGGGGACTTGTTCACTAAACTTGCAGAATAAATACATACACAACTGCAGAATTAGGACAGTTTTCAAGAGACCACGTTTCCCTAAAAATTCTAAAACCTGAATTGTTCCTGTGTTCTTTAAGCTCTTCACAGAAGATTCAATAGATTCACAGAAGATGCAAAGCGGATGCGATACAAGTAATAGACTTAGTGTATTTGGACTGCAATTGTTTTTCTTTGACCCATCAGAATATATATATATACACACACATTTTAGTTCCATTAAAAAAAAAAAAAAAGTTTTGCGACTAATTTTAGTGAAAGCCAAACTAAAGATAAATATATAAAAGAAATTACACAAAATTAGTTTTGTTTATTTTTGCTTTTTCCCCCAAAATGTTTCGCACCCAAAAGAGATTTCCACATAAGATTAGGTGGAGTTTTGGATCAAGTTGAGTGTCTTTTGAGCCCAACATAACTCATCTGCACAAATGAAAAGGAGCTTGTCCTGTCAAACTTGATGTTTTTTCTGTTTTCCTACACAACTCTTCTTTAACACTGACAATGCATGTGATGAGGAGCCATGCAGCATATGTTCAAACTTGCTTTTACTTTTTACTATATGTACTATACATTTACTATAAAGAATCAGAGTTGAAAGTACTAAAACTTTAAAATCAACAGAGCCACACGAAATGCCTACAATGAAAACCTTTAGCCTTAAAAATTTCTTAAGTTCTCAGATTCAGAGAAAATTAGATATTTAACTCCCTCAAAAAAACTTGAACAATATTTTAAGTATGTACAAGAAAAGAATCTGCCCCGGTGTAAAATCTTATTAAATACGTAGCTTTTCTTCAAAATATAAGGCAAGAGTTTTGCAGTTGTGATAGCTCTTTTAGTCAAGAGCTTTATTATTTGAACTGAAAAAATTGGAAAATAAATTCTTGCAATATAAACTACTGAGCTAAGCACAGAAGCCTTGCTGAATCATGATTTTAAAAGCTCTAAACTCACATCTTGAGTTTGGAGAAAATCCAGGAAGGAGTAAAAAATTTGCACCTCCATTACAGACTAGTCTGAACTAACAAAACATCTTCATCTTTTAATAAAATGATAGTATCATTACAATAAAAATAAGGAAGTGGACCATTGAGATAGTACTTTCAAAACTTACTAGAGACTAGTATTGTCAGAAGGTAATATATAAATATTTCATGAACTGCCATTTCAGTTAAAAACAAGATAATACTTTGTGTATGTATATATTTAACTTTTTAAAATATTTTCTATAATATTAACTTTTTGGATGAGACACTAGAATGAAAATAAAGAAAACAAAGATAAATAAAAGAAGAAAAAAAAAAAGGAAAAACAAACATCCTGATTAAGGGAACATCTACACAGTCTTTTGCCAGAAGATTCCAGGCCATTTCACCCTCTGTGAGAGCCAGCCAGGCAATTTTGATGCATGTCACTATGGTTAGCATGACACTGAGGTTACTTATTAACTTGAGCACAGTACTGTAATAATCGCACCTTCATGGCTTTTAGATTGGGGTCAGCACACCCCTGGCTGGTTCATAGTAAAGACAGAGTGAGCTTCTGTTTACCTGCAAAATCACTTGAACATACCCTCAGGTTAATAACTGAGTTTCACAAATATAAACCTATTTGGCTAACTTAATTTGACTACATCCTCTTAGTGAACCAGAAATAAAAACCTGTTCCACATACCTTTTTTCTCATACGGTCTTATCTAGCTTTTTGATTAATTAAGCCAGAATTTCATGGTCCATGTGATGTAGAAATGCCTGCAAACCATCACACATTTGCAAGGTTTAGGATCCCTCATCTGATCCCTGATAGCCTCCATCTGGCTGAGTTGCCCTTCCTGACAGCATACACCTGTCTCTAGTCCTGCAACGCTCTGAACCCTTACCATGTAATGCTTTTATATTATACTTCATATTTCCTATATTACATTCTAAAACTTTTGTGAATGTGAATTAAACCTGGGAGTGTGAGGTAGGTGAAGTATGAAAATTAATTGAACTGTTGTAGACCACCTGAGCTGCACCATGATTTCAAGTGAGCCACAAGCATGGTCTGAAAAAAGGAAGGGAAAACTCTGGAACAAAATGATAAAAGAAAAGAAACATTCAACAACTAAAAAACCAACCTGTTAACACAGATGCTTTGTACAGCAGAAAGCATTTTTCTTTTTTCTTATTTTATGAAAAGGTAGTTTTAAATTGGAACTTTCAATATAGAAAATTAAAGTGACTTTATTTTTCAGATTGAGAGAGCTCCCAGTAATTTATGGGACATGAAGACAGAATCATGTCTAAAACGTAAATGATTTTTTGAGACTTAAGACAGTAATTTAAAATTTTAGTCAACTTTAAAAAAAAAAATTTGTAACCTTTGTCCTTATTTGAGCAAATATGATTTAAAAAAAGACAATGTGAAGAAGTGTTTCACCTCAGTTACATTTGAAGTAATAATATCCACTTTTTATGAAAACACAGGATTCTTTGGAAATACATGGCCCCTAACATACAGTACAGGCTAACAGACTTACCTACCATATTTTGGAATTGAATCTCTACCCAAACTCAATGTGTAAGTTTATTTACCTTGATTTCTGAATTCCTGCAACTGTTGGGGCAAGATACAAACTGTAAGTCTATTAATTGTTTTTATTTGTCTGAAATCCAGCAGTAACCATAACACCAATTTTTCTCATTCTCTATTTTGGTAATTTTATCATGCTTTGAAAATTTCTCATGTAAGAATGTCTTTAATTAGAGCTTTCTTTTCTAGACTGTGTACATCTGCAAATAGTGTAATAAGAGCTCAGACTAGATGGGAACGCTTCTGGCTTGGAAAGGGCAGAAAGACAAAACAATGAAGAACTGCCCATATAACACCGACAACAATACTAAATCTGATAGGAAACTTCTTAGAGGTCCTGGTGCCTCTTCCCTACCCTCGTTGGACCTGCAGGCCAGGCAATCCTGTTTTGCTCTCTACTAGTTCTCATTGTCCTACACAGCCTTTTTACAAGGCTTACATGAGCCTGTTTTATTGCTTACAGCCAACGGAATGGAACAGCGTATTGCCAGGAAGAGTTTCAGGACACTGCTCCAATTTTTCTGCGTACTCTTTCACAGAGTGGATCCCTCTAAAACAGCTACTTGATTTACAGCTTGTGTTTTATCCCTCCTCTAATGCATAGTGGAAGGAGATCACAGAGGAAATAGCCATCTGTTTGACAGGTGCTGATCCAGTAACTTCCTGATGAGATTTTTCCAAGTTATTTTAGCGTTAATTATCGTAATGCGTAAGAGTCAAAGAAATTTTTCATTCCATTTAACTTACAGAAACAATGCTATTTGGGGGGAAATGAAGACACATTTATCATCCGCTCTCTCAAATTTCTCTAAGCTTGAGCTGCAGCCATACAATTTCCCCGACAAGTTTAAAACTGAAGAGTGAAATGTCAGTTGTTAGGACAAAAATGTTTTACTTAGGTTTCTGATCACTGCTCTGGGCTTTGCAGACCTGTTATAAAGCTTGGCAATATAGTTAAAGCCTACTTGAGTCCTGTCTAGACTGGCAAGATAAACTACAGTTTATATATGCTCAGACACTACTGTACTGCAAGTCCCTGAAGAAAGCACTGTTTACCTAGCAGCCAGGACCTCGCTTGGGAATGTCAGCTTGCCAATCATCGGTTATAAAATATTGCACTTGCTCTCACAGTTCCTCTTCAAACTTCCTCTTTTCTTCAAAATACAGTTATGCTCAAGACACTAGCTATTTTGCAATTAAGGAAAAGGGACACCAAGAGCAGGGAAGCCTGCCATATGAGGAAAGGCTGAGAGAATTGGGTTTGTTCAGCCTTCAGAAATGAAAGGCTTAGGGGAGACCTTATCACCATGCTCCTGTATCTAAAGAGTGGCTACAAAGAAGATGAAGACTCCTTTTTTACAAGGAGACAAATGGAAAAGACGAGGGGTAACAGGTACAAGTTTGCCATATGAGGAAAGGCTGAGAGAATTGGGTTTGTTCAGCCTTCAGAAATGAAAGGCTTAGGGGAGACCTTATCACCATGCTCCTGTATCTAAAGAGTGGCTACAAAGAAGATGAAGACTCCTTTTTTACAAGGAGACAAATGGAAAAGACGAGGGGTAACGGGTACAAGTAACTTTTGGGGAGATTCCAGTTGGACACAAGAGGCAAATTTTTAATCAATGAGAGCAACCAGCCATTGGAAAAATCTCCCCAGGGTAGTGGTGGATTCTCTATCATTGGCCACTTTTAAGATTCAGGTGGACACGGTACTGGGCCATCTTGTCTAGACCGTGCTTTTGCCAAGAAATGTTGGACCAGATGATCCTTGAGGTCCCTTCCAACCTGTTTTTCTAAGATTCTATGATTAAAAAACTGTGGTTACAGGCAGAAAACAATGCTATAAGCATTAAATGAGTTTCACATTTTATTCTTAACAAACATCTGCTATTGAAACATTGTAGAGTTTTCAACTCAACACACTATTTTTAGCTACTAGAGAAGACAGTCCAATCTACTACTTGCAAAACAATTTGGCATCTTTTTCACACGTCACCACTGAACACCACTGACGTTTCTAAGACGGGAACTAGTTGACAATTCCACCAATGATTCATGAAACAGCACAAGGTACAGCTCATTTTTCACAAAGGAATAGGCTCTATGTTGCTGCTAGCACTAGAAATTTGCTGTTTGTCAGTGAGCTAAACAAATGTGACTGGGAAGAGATCAGGTAAGCGTGAGAGAAGATATATGCAGTAAGTTGATGTCATTTTTCTGAGTTGATCCTCCATATAATCCTACTTATATTTATTCTCAGGCTATTTGGGAAGATTAATTTTTCCAACAGTAGAATTATCTTCTAGTAATACTTATTTCTCTCACTGTGAAATAGCTTTACTGAGAAATAAACAAGTGAGCACATGTTTGGGGATAGTTTCTATTACAGAATTGAATTTAGAACTAATTGTTGAGCTGGCCAAATTCATTAGAAGGATTGTATTTCCTGATGAATTTATCTATTTATTCAGTTCCAGAATGGGTAGAAACAGATATTAGATTTTAATAATTGTAGTGGCCTTAAAGCAGTTTTTTAGGCTTTGTCCAATCAGCTGAATTCACACAGAAAAATCAGCTTTTGGAGTTGTTTGTAGAAACAGCGATGCAGAAATCAAATGTTAAACAGTGAAAAGTAACAAATGACAATAGGGAATGATTCAGAAAGCTACTTTGCCATTCCAAGAAATGTTTGAAATTCTAATTCCCCCTCATTCCATACTCTTCCTTATTAGCTCATTAATCTCAAAGAAATTAGTTTATCACGAGAGTTCTCTTATCTTTAACAGGTGCTGCTGCAGGCTGAACATCAACATCCCTTTCTCTTACCTTCTTCAGTGTGTAGCTTATAGAGATTTCCTCTCTCTTTTCTTATTTTCCCCTCCAGAAATCGAAATTCTCTCTGCAGCTAAAACACCACCAGATATTCCTGTTTCTGGATCTCTAATTCTAGAAGATAGAGTTTCTTCTAGAGAAGCTTCCTCTAGAATTAGTTTTTCCTGCTTTTTCAGCAAAGAGCTCAGTTGTGCACAGCATTAGACAGCAAGATCACCTCCACTTTGCTGCTGCCAGAACAACAGCTACTTCAGTTGCTAGTCCTTTTCTAAGGCAAGCAGGCTGGAATTTGGCATCTCCTCCTTAATCCTTTCTCCACCACCACCATAGTTGTCTAGCATGTGACACCCACTGAAACTACCTTGACACAAGAGACAATCTGGGCCAAGACAGTGACTCCAGCTCTGTGATACAGGTCATTATGAAGTTAAAGTTGTGCAGAGGATGGAAGGTTTTTTTTTCCAGGAGCATTTAAGAAATCTCAGAATGTATCTTCACCCTGAACTATAACAATACCTTCTTATGATATTCCATTATATACTACATCTTTGAAACAGTGGTGATTTCAAAATGAAAAAAGCAGAAACTTTTGTTCAGAAGCTAAATACTACATAGTAACTTTTTCCTGTTTCCTCTCTAAATTAAAGAAAACTGATATGTTTTTGAGAGAAACTTTATTTCAGTTGGTTTTAGAAGATGTTCCAAGGTGACAGAAAAGATGTTTAAACAAAAAAAAAAAAAAAAAAAAAACAAGATAGAAAATGGAAGAATACTCAAGAAGACAGATGAAGTGGTTTTTATTTTTCCTTTCATTACCTTTTTATGTTTTTTTTCTGATACTTCATCAGATATTTATCAATGTCAACTTTTTAATTTCAGAAGTACACAGCTGCCATCCTGAAGTCCTCCTACATAAGTGCTTTACAGGAAACAAAAGGGAGACTACAAAACTAAAGCAGAATTCCTCTTGTACAACTCCAGCTCTCAGCTGCAATCCTTAGCTTTCCCTCTGGCCTGGGGACTGAAACAGTACGGACATAGGCACACAGAGGAAATTTCAGTATTACATTTTTGATTTAATATTGTTACTTCTAGAAATTAGTCTCTGTCAGCACAACACAGTAGAAGCAGTGTTTGGATTATTCAATTTACACCAATAAATAAATTTTAATGGCTTCTTATCAAAGCCATCTTATTCAAATAGCAGAGAAACCCAAAAGAAACAGGACTCCTGCCTGGTTAGCTGCACACGTGAGGAATTTCCTTAGCATTTGATTAATTTTTTAGCAAGCTGACCCTGGAATTTCCCCTTGCTCCTGCCTTCTTGAATGCTTTCATATTTCTCCTGTCCAATTCTCTTCATGTTTCAGGGGTAAGAGCTGCATAAATTGATCTTCAACACAGTGCAGCTCTTCTGTGAAGAGTCACAGAAGGAGTTTGTTTTATTAACGACACCATTTTAGGAGGTGAGAACTGGATGATAAAGTGGATGGCTAGAACAATGTGGCAAAGAAAGGAATAAACTGTATTTGAGATCCAAAGAGATTAGATGGTAAGTTAAGAAACAGCTCAAAAGATGTTTATGGAGGAGGGATCGGTCTGACATCCACAAACAACACAAGCAAGCAAGTAATCATAATGCAAAACAGTTTTCCAACCCTTTCCATGGTGGACTACTTCTAAAGATAGAGATGCTAGTAGGGCTACTAGACTTTGCCTGAAACTCCAGCTGAGTAATTTTGGATTCTGAAGTGGAAGTGGGTATTTTGACTTTTCTGGCTCAGGCTTCCTATTTGGATTTGAGAAAGTAGAAATATCTTCTAGTTTATTAATGAAAAAGTGTGCAATAGTATTTAGAAAATGCAATTTGAGATTAAAAGTGTCAGAAGCAGCCTTGCCTGAAACATAGCTTAAAATAACGGGGCCGCCAAATGTGAATTTGAAATTGCTTTAATAGGTTAACAGCAATACAGTTTAGAGTCCCTTAAAGCCATATCCTGCCCCTAAAATAAGAAATGTGTTCTGGATTATTCTTGCAGTCTCATGACTTCAAACTGTTAGAATGGAAACTGGGGGCAGCCACCAAAGAAAGCCTTGAACTCTTATTTTGGAGTTAATGCATATTGACCCAGGACTGGGGGAAAAAATAAGTAGTGTTCAAAGGAGTCTTATATTTTGCCTGCATCATCATAATTTCTGGTGTAGTTAAAACCTATTGCAGAACAGTAACTTCTTGAAAAAATGTTACAGTTTAATTTTTTATGTCCTTTTAATAGAAGTCATAAATAAAGCACTCTTTTTCTTTTTTTAATTTTTTTAACTATTCTGGTGGTTTTTTGTATTTACAATCTAGGCATTGCCAGCACTTTAAACGTTAAGTACACATTACCAGGAAGTACATGCAGACAAATGAGAAGACAGTTCTATGAGCAACATCAGTAACACAAGGAGACTAAACTGAATAACCTATTGGGAAGGACAAACTACCAACCTATGCATATTTTGACTAAATACTGACCCGGAAGGTTGTGATAATTGTCTCTAAGTATGTAAAGGCTGTAAATTTCATAAATAAAGGGAAAAAATAAGAAAAAATCTTTAACAGGAAAAGCATCTTGGGCGTGAGAATAATTAAGGTACAAAATAATAATCACAGTGAAGTAGAGAGAGCTTAAGATTGGCTAAAGCACTGTAGAGACTGTTACAGGGAACAGTTTTGCAATGCCAGGATACAGACTAGATGAGCCAGGGTTTTCCTCATTCTCATTTCTATTACTGCATTATATTCATGTCAATAGCAGTGCAACAGAACATTACCCAAGTGTAATTCTACAGCCACATTTTTCCTTTACAAGTAAAAAAGTAAATTTATCTGCTTTACCTCCTGACTTATGATACCTTTTCAATAGGATATTATTTGTACTTGAAAATTCTCCTAGTTGGTAGTTTTGTTAAATTCATTGACTTAATTTCAAATATGCTCACTATAACATGTAAAAAAACCAAAACCAATTAAAGACTATTTTCATTCAGAAACTGTAAATATATAAAAACTATTGCTTTGCAAAGACACTGCTGGTGCAGGCAAAAATAGTTCGCACCTCAGGAGGAAGTACTGCCTAATGCAAGAATTTAGGAATCAAAGACAAGGAAATAGAGGGAAAAGGTACCTTCTTAATGGTTTCCAACATGGATCGTCCTCCTTGCCAGGGTTTAGAGTTCTTCCTGATGCAGGTAAGGCTGGCCATGCTGTGCCACTTCCTATCCTCCAGCTTCTTATGAAAGGCATTTGCCAACAGAAGGACAGTGTCATATATATACAGGTTTGAAATCTGCAAAGACATTAAAAAGGGAGTATTAGCATTATTATTTGTGGTCACCTGCCAACAGACAGAGTTTATAATTTCTTTGCCTCACCCGTAATCCTCTGGTAATTAAACAATTTATTTGGTATTAAGAAGAAACTCTAAGAGTCAAAAAGTTGTATCTTTGGCTCTGGCAAAATCTGCAGATAGGAGCTGTCAGGCTACAAGTGATTTGCAGCAACAAACTACACACATGTGAAGTACAGGCAGCCCAATCACTGGCACAGCTCCACTTGCAGGATTTAAAGCCCGGCTCACAATTGTAAACAGGCTTTCTTTTATTCTTAACCAGTTGCCTGCAACTTTCAATTTTTCAGTCACCAGATATTTGGACACCATCAAATTATCTTCAAGATTGCTTAGTTATTTTGAGAAACAGAAACTCTGAAAATTAAAAATAAATCACTTCATCGTGGTTTGTGTTCCTGATTTTTGCAGTCAGTTGATTGAGACAATTTCTGGAATGAAATCCCAATGAAATCTTTCTCAGTGTGCAACTGCGTGTTGCAATTGCCATTGCAATTCTGCAATTTATAGTGTTTCCTGTTACAGTATTTGGCAATGGCTGTTAATTCCTTGATGGACAAAACTTTTACTGAGTAAATGCTTCACTGAGAGCATAGCTACAGTCCAAGGAAATTCCAGTTTGGCATCAAAGAGAGAACAGCTGAACTAAAAAAAAATAATTGTGTGCCAATTTCACTTACCCATGTACTTTTTCTATATCTGTACTTTTAAATACAGACAGTACAAAGTCAGTTGTGAAAGATACAATTCAATGTAAAAGAATTCATGAATACTTCTGAAACAAGTAATTTACAATATAGATTTATTTCAGCCACATCTGTCCTCAAATGCCAGGAACACTTAAGTTGCTAACAGTATCATAAAGAGAAACCACAGCTCGCTCTCTCTCCTGGTTCTTGGGAAGAAAAATGATGTTCAGAAATGACCTTTGGGAATATTATTTTTAGATAACCTATTGGTTATTTGAAGCTGTGGGTCCTGAAGTTATTGAGGGAAACTCAGTTTCTTCAGCTGCGCTATAAAGTGAGGCTTTAGAGTATTCCTAGTGCCTGAAAACAAATTAGCCAGCAGCAATTTGCTAACTGAGGGAAGGTTGCTGGTTTTTTGTCTCTATTGGTCACAGACAAACCAAAAGACATTTCCCAGATTTGTGGAACATGTTGAGTGCTCTGTGTAAGAGTTTCTTCATATGGATGGTGTGCTCCTTAGAAGAAGAATCATGGAATTGTCAGAGTTGGAAGGGACCTCTAGAGATCATCTAGTCCAACTCCCCTGCTAAAGCAGGAAAGACGGAAACTTACAATAGCAAAGTATGCCAACGTTGTGGAGAATGTCCCTATTCTGCCTCTTAAAAATATCCAAAGACTGGGAAAGTCCTGCTGCTACTGAGAGGGTGTATATGTGAAGGAAGAACAATAATGCTGATGATCTGAGACAGTGATTGGCAAATCCACACATCACCTAAAAAAAAAAAAAAAAGGAAAGGAAGGAGAAAAGAAAAAAGAAAAAGGAAAAAAAAACCAAAAACCCCCACAAAAAAATAGTGTCTCTTCCTAATTAGTCCTTTCGATATAACTTATTTTTATGTTTTTATTTTCTTATGTAAATTCCATCTTTATGCAGGCTTTGCCTGTGTCATCTGCAATCTGCTCTGTACAGTTGTCACAGGAAGGTTTTATAACAGAATCCTTCCCTGCCTAGCATCCAGGAAAGAGGTTGTCTTTCTCCTTACTTTGCCAGAATTTTCTGGGGCATTTTGCCTTCCACATTTTATTGAAGGAGATCTAATGGTCTGCTGCTTTCCCTCCTGATAAACTCCTGGGATCCTTTATTGCCTTTACAACTCTACATTGTTAGTGCCACAAATGCACAGAACTTTTGATTTTTATCTCTCTTTTTCTTTAAATGACAAAGATCCTTCACTCCCTCTTTCTGGAAGACACTTTTTTATTCTTACTCAGGCTTCTCCCATGACTCCAGTTCCTGGGAATATTTCTATTTCAGTATTCACCCAGGAACTCATTTACCTTCCGCAGATGCACAGGCCAGGCATCACTGTGCGTGACAGGATTAAAAGCATGGATTGAGGATCTGGGTTCAGATTAATAAAGCATTTTTAAAATAGCTTGGATGATTTGTCTGTACATTGTAAACCTACAAAGAATTTAAAGCATTTCAGCTATAACCATATTTCCCCAAAGAAGTCAGCACCACAGGGACATTTGTTTGGGGAGGAGAGAAGGAATAATTGCTAGGCTGTGAGACACCTTTTTATTTTACATAAACCTTCTCAAAGGAAAAAAAACCACACAAACCTCTAGAGAGCAGAGACAGTAAGGTCAGTAATGAGACTAAATTGGTACATAAAGGGCTACAGATGCCAAGTCATCATTTCCCAACAAAATGACATTGCTTTCAAGGTAGCTTCTGTAACCTAACATCATCATGGGAATAGAAGATTATTGTCAGAGTTCATGAGGAAGGATGCATTGACTAATCTAAGAGTAATATAGTGGGCCTTCATCAAGTATTAACAGGGCTCAGGAGTACAGAGTTCAGCAGTTATTAAGCATTGTTATTCCTTCACTAATAGTTCAGCTTATCATTTACAGTAATCAATCACTGATAATGCAATGCTAAAGACACAATTAACTTCTGCTTCTCAAAATCACTCTTCCTCTGTCACTAGCAGAAGTATGCTTCATTAATAACTGTCTCAATGCACAAAGTGGGGATGTAATTTAAATTCACTTTACACTTTTATTAATTTCACACGTAAATTTACTGGGACATTTAATGTGTTGCTTGGTATCCATTACTGATCCTTTATTTATTCCAAGTCTCTTAGACTAATGGCTGGACACTTGCATTAGCAAGCAGTATCTAACCGCATAACCTCCTGTTGACCCAATTCAAAATTAAGATCTGATTTTTTGTTCCCAAATGTCAAAGAAAAGTATTTAGAAATCAGGTTAGGTATGAGTGATTAATCTGGATTAACAGTCTTTATTTTACTTACACCTAGACTATTGCACATAGTTATTAGACAAATGGGTTATGATACTTAAAACTTCTGTGAATCCGGGGTTTAACTTCCTGCCTCCAAAATGATACAAATTTATAGATGTGGTTGTCTCATCTAGACAGTGAGAGATCTTCACCAAAATATTTTTAAGTGTTTTAATAAAGATGATGAAAAATAATATTAATTACACACACAGACTTTAGAGGTAGTGATTCAGAAAAAAATAAACCAAGAAATCCGCCCCTATAATTTCCAGAGAATATTTTTGATTATTCACACTTTGATAGCATAAAGGAAAGCATTAGAAAATTCAATTTATAAACTGTTCCAACTCTCCACTGGAATAGAAGTCAATTTATAACATTGTTGGGGAGAACAAAGAAACAGTAAATGAACCCCACAGCGACTCAAAGGTCTGTGCATCAAATGTGCACTGTGGAACATGTCAGAGTTTTTCTTCATTTCACTTTTTAGTGTTGTCTCACTCAGCTACTAATGAAGTGCATTTTCCCCCATCTTGGGGAAAGCATGAAAAAAATCAACTCAACTGTGCAGAACATTCAAACCAGTCATGCTTCCATCATTCCTTTGAACCAAAATCTTATGAAAGCTTTTAATAGGAGTATTATAGCTCTCCAAGCTATAGATTGATCAAGAAGCACAGGTTAAGGTATAAGGTCCAATCTAACACATTAAATGGAATTTGACAATTTGTACAGAATAAACTTTGATTTCTAGAACTTTTCTTTCCTAAAGTCAGTTCACTGGTGAAGTGAAAATGAAGTGAAAGAGAAGTTGAAGAGAAAAATAAATCAAAATGTGATGCCTCCCATTGATACATAATTCTTGTTTTCTACCTTGCTGTAGTTAATAACTTTGCTCATGAAAACTGCTCTTTGCAATCTCCAGTGGCTGCATGGAATCACACCCTCAGTTTTCACACATTACCCATAGACTACCAAAGCTCCCCCTAGGACCATGCTGCCGTAAGAGAACAGCACAACCCAAAGAATTTTCACAGTTCCTAAGTAGCCTCTAGAGATATCCTACACAACTACTGACCTACACAGCCTTGTTTATTTTAAGAACTCTAAGAGGATCACCATGAAGTGTGCTATGGCCGAAGTTTTTCATGTCATCCATAGTTGCTTACTGGCTGCTTCCTGAACAATTAGTGAGGCAAAGGCTCTCACAGCTAACCTGAAACGGGGCAAGACCAGCCACACTTCTTTTCCTTTACCCCTCATGTTTTTTCATGTTAAGCAAAGACACTCTTCAACACCCATTGTCTCTCCCAATGTTTTCCCTCCTTTTTTTTAGCATCACAAGGAAACTGCTCTTTGCTGCTAAGTCAGATATTCTCCTGTACCACTGCCAATGCAGTCATCTTTCCATAGCTTCATGAATGACCATGCAAAAACCCTCAAAAGTAAAATTGTCATCTTAAGCCAGCTTCACACTCCTGATTTGCCATAGCTTTGTCATGATGAAGTCTAACCAGAGGTATGGGAAAGATAGAGTATACTTGCTCTTGGAAAAACTCTGTCAAGTCAGGACAGTGACCATGGTCCTGGTGTTGATTTCATGTAGTAGGAAGGCTCTTATATTTAATTGTGGTTTGTAATTAACAACTCTGAAAATAAGGCCTCTTTGAAACTTAGGCATAGATTTAGGTGTGTACACCAAGATACTTGAAACAAATGACGTGGGTGGTCCCCAGAAAGGCTTTCCTATTGACAACACATTTGAGGCTTAGAGAAGCATGGCAACTCGGGAGACATTGGCTATGAGGAGGAAGACAAAAAATGAAATTTAGCAGGGCAGCAAAACAACTACCCCACCATCTGGAGATCAGATGGGGTTTTTTTGACTTTTTTCTCAATTGCTGTGGAGTGGGTGAGTTGTTCCTGTTCGTTAGTCACATTCCCCACCCCCACCCCTCCCAAGTGTTTTCTTGTCATACCATGAGCCATTAACTACATGTCAGAGAGGACATGACAAAAAACCATTAAATTACACTAAGTCCGTGGGGAAAAACCTTGAACTTATCTAGAAAGGCAGTTCCCAGGCGGGAATAGACTGGCATATGAGCTACCTCCATGCTTTGGGAGAAAGGGTCCTTCGGATCGCACAGTGATGAAGATATTCTGTGGTTGCCACGGAAACAGCGCTGACTTATGTTTTGGGGGACTGGAAATGTCTGACGAATAATTGTTAACCTTCCAATTGACCTTCTCACCAACTCCTGCACATCCACATCATTTATTTCCTGGAAGATAAGGCAAGGGAGAGAATACGCATAAAAGTTAAAATATAGAAATGTTACCACGAGTTTATAAACAAAAAAATAAACTGAGAGGACCAAGAGATGTGTGATTGCTACACAGCTATTTTCAAGCTCTGCCACAGACTCAAAAAGAATGTATGCACGCTCATTAAAACAACTGACATACCAACCTTACAATAATTGTAAACCTTTAAGAGGTGCTGTACCCAAACCTCACTGAATCTTTGCAGATATAACTGGGCTTAGTTGTTGAATTTTTGGTTTCCTCTCCCTCCCCTTTTACTTTTGATCTTTTACTTAAAAGTGCTTCACAGCATCCTTGGCAGATAATGTGTAAATCAGTAGGCATTCATACCATCATGTATTTCTAAGCACAGCATTACTTAGGAGCTGTGAAGGTACAGACAATTATCCAGGACCTAAGTGTTCATTTCCTGGAAACAGAATATCAAGAACCTAAAAAACAATGTGCAAGTTCGCAAACATCATTTACCAAAAGGGCAAAGAAAATGCATTAGAGCATTCTAGGTGTGTATGTGCTAGTTTATAGCAAGACTTAATTTAAAACCAACTTTTTACTCCATGGGGTACCTACTGAGGCTTACTGCTGAACACTCAGCTCTACGGACACACGCCTTAAAGAGAAAAATAACTAAGTAAATACATCAATGCTTGAAATATTAAGCTCAAAATATTAACTTTAAGACAGGTAAGGGGAACCAGAAAAACAGGTCTGTACAAAGCATAAATTCCTGCAGTTTGGAAGCATGTTGTTTTACACCATCAAATGACGAGGCTCTCAGGGAACATGGAGGAAGAGGAGCATGAGCTCACAGGCAACAGCAACTGACTCCAACCTTCACATAAGAACCTGAACTTTAGTTTTCTGGTGATTCAAATAGGGTCATCTGGCAGCTTACAAGGCAATTCTGTGTCTATATTTTTCTGTAAAGCAGAAGAACTAATCTACAAAATTGCCCAATCTTTTTAATTAGTGTCTATTTTTCATTATGCTGAATTGTTTGTCCATAATCTGTCTTAATTACAGAGGCTGATGCCCCCAAATTTTCAGGCATTTAAATTTGTGGATAACTCTCTTACTGGGTTGGATGCTTGAGGAGCTCCTATTAGCTGCTTGTATTTGACATACCCTTGTATACAACCACAGGAGATAGACTTGGACTCAAATTACAGAATCTTTCTTATTAAAAGGAAGCAAAGGTTTGTTAAAAAGTAGCTCTTGAAATGTTAAGACAACTATCCTGGTAATTTCGGTGGAGTTTTTTTTGAGCTTCAGTTAACATTCTTTAAATTAATTATTTTGAAGCAACTTTGAATATACTGGCATTTACTTATTTCCTTTAAAGCTTGGAAAGTAAATACATGACATGTAAATTTTAACTTCTACTGTCTTGACTACAGTAAAAGTATTTTATTCTACTTCTTTAATTCAGCTATTATTAATGTTCTTTATGAAATATAGATTTTTCTGCAAACAAAAATAACACATGGCATCAGCTGCGTCCAGTATAATATCTTGCATTTCTGGTCGATTAATCCTTAATGTACCATAGATAATGGTTTCTCTCAGCTTAAGATGCCGTCTTTTCATTTAGTCTGTATCATTTCACTAGCTGCAAGGTAAAAAAAAAATATTAAAAATTGCTGGTTTAGCAAAATGGATGTAATTTTATTTTATAATACTTTCAATAAAATCAGAAAGGAGAGCTCAAGAAACTTCTTATCTTGATTTTAAACTGTATCCTTTCCCAGAGGATTTAAAAAAAGGTTGCCTGGTTTCATTACACACTGTGCCCAAACTGTAACAGCAGGACTAGTAGACTCATTCTAATAATGTAAAAATGGATATGTACATGGCCATGTTATATTGCTAAACAATACTTCAAAAGAGATTTTGACTTCCAGCTGCTAAAACATTTATCTTTTTGGTCTCAATAATGAATTTATTTTTTCTCTATTCAGCATTTTTTGGTGCATTTTAATTAGAGTGTTCTCATTTGAACCCTTAGGTTAATACCTCATATTTTTATACATCATCTGTGAACTAATAACAGAATCCAAACACTGAAAGAGATTTTTGTATGATTGCCAAGGAGGTACATATATCAAGAGATTAATGACAGCTATTATTTTAAATGCTGTGAATTTGACCAATTATATCAGAAATTCAGATTTTAAGTTAACAACAAAGCAATGCCACGCAAACCCAAATTCAACTTTAGTCATTTGCTTTGTAATTTTTTTTTAATACTTGGCATTGACTGAGTGATGAGCCTTTTATATAATGACTCTTCAATATCATCTCTCATTCTTGAATTTTGGATCTGACTTAAGAAAACTATATAAAGCAACTATTGTGTGAGAGGAAACAATTTTCATTTGCACTTCAAAGGAGGATACAGTATAATGATATAAGGATGGCAGATGATCTGTTATACAAGAACCAAATGTCTAAAAAAATTACAAAGTTGGCCAAGTGGAACTGAGTTGGCACCTGTATAAATTCAGGCTAGGTTATATGTGGGTTTTTTTTTTCTAAATCAGAACTTCAATCTGTAGTTCCAAACCTTTCTGGTTTTTGGCTGAACTTGGAATAAAGGAGAGGCTGTCCAATTTCAAATGAAACAAGGATAAGACTAGATGTACATTTCATCTGAATAGGCAAATCAATAAGGAAAAAAATGCTGTTTTAAATTAATAGCTCTTCGCAGATGAATTTGGAAAAGGAAACTGAAGGGGATCATCTCAACATACCATGCAGAGACTCTATACTATATATAGCAAGACTATATACTGGACACCTAATACTCATTGCCATTCAGCTTCATCTCATCATTTTAAGATAAGCAACCCAGGCAGAGACTTAGCATTCACTGCAGAACAACTGTACCAGCAGTGAGAGACATAGAGGGAAATAATTTATTCACATGCTCCTCAAAAACATCAAAGGCAGCAATACCTTTTCTTATGGAAATGTCTTAACTTTGGGCCAAGAAGATGATTCCAGTATTTATCATATACTGGACATGCCCTATTTTGCAGTGCATGCCATGTCTTCACCACTTCCTTCATGACACTCAGTGAGTGTTTCTTCCTCCTTCAAAAGCCAGCAGCAGTGAGCAGGGGGCAGAGAGGGAAAGGGTGGCCACTGCACAACCCCTTGAAGCTTCTGGGCTGCCACTGCCTGTGCCACAGCATACTTGGGCTATGCCCTTCCTGAATTTCTCAGCACTTTCCAAAGAGGAGCAGCTGAGGGGAAGGCATAGCTAGATGAAGCTCCAAGACAAGTAAAAGGAGATCTTGAACTGCATAGTCATTTGCTCCTTTATATCTCCCTTAGGTTTCTTAGGTTCTGGGGAGGATGATGAAAAAGAGAAAAATGATAAGACAAGGAGAAATCAATTTTTAGCTTTCACAGAGGAAAAAATCCAAGAGTTTGGAGAAAACATGGCTGAGTCGGTCTGTCCATTGGCCCTCACCTGTCTGTAAAACAGAGCCGGCAGCTTGGTTGCCAGCCTGTACCGAAGAGGGTGGCATTTCACACCTGACCTGCTCTCCCCATTGGAAAATATGAGGGATCAAATGAACCTCTAATGCTACTATTAATCAACTACGCATATTAAAATGTAGAATTATGTTAGCTCCTGGGACTGAACTGTGGTTTTATGACCTGCTCTAGCTACTCGAGTTTAAAACATAGTCATGCTCTGTGCTTTTCTTCATGGTGGAGCACATCGGGCTGAAATACAATGAAACAATCTGAATGCATCAGCCAAGGACCAGCCCTCTCCTAGAAAAAACGTATGTTCATCTGAAAGTAGCCTTTGAATACAACCTTGTGGGTACCCCTGTCCTCTCTTGTGCTATGATGGGCAAACCTGACAGATCTTTTTCCATAAACTGTTCTTTTAAAGAGTTTAGGGCTTTTTTACCTTCTCTTCTCAAAGAAGGAGTTTTTCCAGACTCCAGTGTCTCTGGTAATTGAAACCTTCTACTAACTCTTGCCCTCAATTTATTCATGGGCAATTTGAACTCATTTATTCTTGTGCCAACCTTGTCCTCTAGCCCTTGACAACGATGCATTTATTCACACTCTGTATGTGTTTATAAACAGAGAGCACATCCTCTTTCAGTCTTTGTTTTCATAGGGTAATCAAGCCAACCTTTTCAGTCTCTTCTCACACACAAATCAGCTTTTCTGTGCACCCTTTCCATTCTAATTTTGCCAGAGCTGGTCATAATTGTGCACATTATTGCAGATGAAATCCAGCCAATCCTCTGTACAGTAGCTTTAATATTTTCACCTCCTGTATGGTAATTGTAGGCAGTGGAAAGTGTTTTGGGCTGTCCTTGAGTAAACAATAGTAATAGAGAACTGGTGGCAGCCTTGGGCATAGTAAGATGACCCTGAGTGTTTTAACCAAGGAAAGTGCTTGAGGAAGACATGGATTTAAAATAAAAAAGAATATTTCTTTCATTTCAAAAGAGCAAAAGAAACAAAAGTGATGAAAATCATACAAATGCCCCTTCTTCAGTTCCACTAAATAAAATCTAAGCTTACTGTGCACTTGTGATTTAAGAGTTGTAAAATAAATATAATTTTTGAGGTTATATTTACTATTGTAAATAGTACTCTGTACTATTGTGCAGAGGAAAAGAAGCAAGCAGAGACAGAGAGAGGGGGAGAGAGAAATCCATTCTCACATTTTGTTAAGGCATATTTTATCATGACTAAATTCAAATCTATGACTCCTGCAAATTTTAAATAAAGAATTGCACCATCTGCTTTAAGGCCCTGAAGAAATAGGAACATTTATTTGGAGAATGTTTCCTCAGCTGACTGCACTGATCAGAAGAGATTTGTATTATTTGCAAAGGACTAATACGATGCATTATGCTTTAGCAAGTTATGATTCCTTTCATTTTATGGGAAAAACCCCCCTCCCTCCTACACTTGCATTTCCATTATGATAAACAGTCTTCAAGCAAATTTGCCGTATTACATAAAATAGCAACTAATAGGACAATAAAAATTAAGGAACTCTTTCCAGGAATTATAGCATTTAAAGCAAGCAAATAAAGTAACAGATGTTACCTCACAAAGCCTAAGCAGATTCCTGATCACAAAACCAAAGGTGGTATTTCCTTTTATGTTACTAAACTGGGTAAATGTGTTGTTCCCCTTCACACAGTGATGGAAAAGGAAAGACAATTGCAGCTTATTTTAGTACCTCCATGCAAGGAATTATTTGAATCATATGTGGATTTTGCAAAACAATGCATTTTCACTGTAATAGATCATCTTAGAATTTCAAATTAGGAGGCCAGGGAAGCAGTGTTACAGTTACGTAGTTGACAGTCTGATTTAGCCAATACAGGCACACAAACACAGATGTCTAAGTTGTCTAAGATGTCACAAAAGATTTATGTAAGCAACAAAATCGGCAGAGCTCTCAGATCATTTCACAGTCATATGGGAGTACTGTGGTCATCAGCAGCTAATGGACAACCATATCAAATGGACTTGGATGTGACGATTGGTATTTTATATACCACACAGTGAGGGGCCCATAAATCACTGCATTTCCAAATCTTGCACTGCCAAAGTGGAAACATTGCGATCTTATTACTGAACAGGTAAAGTGTTGCAATAAGCACGTACTGTTATGCAACATTCATCATTCAGGAAATATTTACATTCCTGGTGTAACTTTAACACGGTGATAAAGAAAAATAGGGGAAACAACGATTCTTTCTTTACCATTATCTACAAAGGTTATTTATTGCTAATTTCATTTTTGTGTTCTCAAAATATTGAGATTATTAGGATTTTGCAACAAACTGAGCTTGAAAGTAAGTTACTTAAGTGGGAATATGAATTTAGGTCCAGAAGCAGATTAAGCTGAGATGGCATTAAACATGTTCACCTTCTTTAAACTGACAGCAGTAATGACTGAATGAGATACAGAGATTTTAATGACTATGGTTTACAGCACAATTTGTCAGAATGAACTTAACTGTGGCTTTCACCCATTTCACAATCAAGACTGTAAAACTAAGATGGGTCAATGTACATTTCTCTGCATATATCACTCAGCTCTCCTAGCTCCTGGGACCCCACCCCAGAGGAAGACTTTTGGAGTAGAGAAGGCAGTTTAGAGTGGTAACAACTTTGATCGCTCTGCCATTTACTCTGCTGCAATGTTCAAACAACAATGCTCAAAAAGCAGATTTTTTTTTCCACAGAAACACTAATTTCTGAATAAAAAACAAAGAAAAAGCATGTACACTAGGAATGAAACTTAAGTTTTATTTTGCTTTTTAAGGGTGGAGGAGCTGACACAGCTGAAAGCAAGCACCTCCTTTTGAACTTTTCAATTCAAATACCATTTCAAATGACACACCAGTGGTAGTGCCACTTTCTGAGGCACAATTTTCTCCAAGGAAAACTGGCTAAAAATCCACTGGTTTAAAGAAGTAGACCAAATTCCAATCCCACTGCAATGTTACATCTTATTATAACCTTGAAAAAAATGCTTTGGATTAAATTACCTCACTATTAGCACACCCTAATAAGGAAAATCTAGTAAAATTAAGTATGAAAACAGAAGTGCACAGTAAATCCCAGAGAGTAGACCTGGAATTTCCAGGCAATATTGAAAGTAATCTTTTATCCTGAGAACATACAGGAGTGTCAAGATCTATGTGTTAGAGGGGAGTTCTCTCTCCAGGGAATCCAGTCATTCTGGACCTAAATTGCTTTTCATTAAACAAAAGAAAAGCTGAATGTAGTCAAACCTAAGAACTACATTGTACAATGTTTTATACGCAAAGCTACTTCACATATTGACCTGTCATATTTTAACTGACAAGCATTCATGGAAGAACCTATTTCACAGTTTAAAAATAGGATGTCAATTTAACTTTCTTTTTTCTCTTCATGAACTTTCATGTATGGCCTGATCCAGAAGTCCACCAAAAAGCCTCTGACTAGTATCCATACGTTTGGGTATCAGATATGACTGAATTCTAGGGGAATTCTTAAAGGAAAAGGAAAGATGGCATTTTATTAAGAAAAAACTTTAAAATATAAATGAAACACAAGCACACCATGACAAAAGATTACGTGTGAAAAAAGACCTTAGAAAGACCCTCTAAAACCAGTCAGCTCAAGTCAAATGCGAACTCTCAAAATACTCAGAAGGAGAGGGGTTTTTTAATTTTATTCTCCCTTTACTCATTCAAGGACTTCTGTTTAAAATAGGCAAGACAAAATAGCAAAGTCCAAGAACTTGTTATTCTATTTTCGTTAGGCAACATCCATTCACCCAGCATGCCTGAACAGGAAGCAGTATGGCAAAGTCAAGATCAGCATGAATATTGTCAGTAAGCCTGAAAACAGGATTCATGGTTCACAACAATGTTTGCTTGACAGTTACCTCATTTATAATGATCCAGTGACAGTCAAAAGCAACCAAATTAGTCTCCACGACCTGAAATAGAGAACAAACCAGCTATCAGTCAGCTTTCTTGTGAAAGCTAGAAAAAAAAAAATTAAATGTATACTCTCTGCAAATGGCAAAACCAAAGCACATGCTCTCAAAGACCTTTGTTATTCAACTGAGGATAGAGAACCTTTAGCAAAATTCTGCAGAAGCATTTGTGTTATTGTTTGACTTGCTAATTAAGCTTGGAAAATACATTTCATTGCCAGCATCACAGGAAAGAATATGTTTCAGTTGACTGAGGAGAAAATGAAATCGTTTTTGCCATAATATTGTGTGTTGAGAGGATGCAACAGAGAGGAAGACAGAAAATGAATATCAAGTAACCCTTGTCAGACTTCTGTAGCTCCTGTCTCTAAGACCTTTTCAGTGTACCCCTAGCCTGAAAGCATATGAATAAAAAAATAAAATGAAACAAACTAAAACCAGAAAACCCACACTACAAATGCTGGGGTTCATAGAAATGCAAAGACTGGGGAGGAAAGAGTTCTCTTGAGAAAGAGGGCTGTCACACAGATGATAAATGATGGTCTGTCCCAGGCTCCATGCACAGTGGGCCTCTAATCCTTCTCCTGTGCATCTTCTCCTTTCCTTTGCTGAAAGTTACTCCAAGAGCTGCCTCTGTGTTGGACTGAAAAGGTACATCCTAACTCATCTTTCACTCAGCCCTACTCTTTCTCTCTTTCAGTCCACTACACTTTTGTGGTGAGTCACGTTTGACTCACCTTTGCACTGGAAACAAAGAGGAAAAAAAAAATAGATTTGATCTGCTTTCATTAGCTAGGAAAGAAATCATCAACAGGAGGGAGGCCAGAAACAAATTTAGAAAAGGCCGGACACCTTTACCTTTTTTTTTTCTTTCTAAATGAAATTGAATTAGAAACTGAAATAAATAAATAAATAAAATAGTTTTTAAACCAAATTAATCCCATTTTATTTGTATAATTCACCATGCTCATCTTGATTCATGATTCAAAACTACTAGATACTTAAAACTGCAATGAATCACAGAAAAAAAAAATTGAAATCAAACTTGGAATTTACAATGTTTTAACATTCAGGTAGATGATTAGTGCTGGGCTGCTATTACTTGGACTATTGCACAGCAGTCACGTTTGGCTTTTAATGATGATCAACACAAATAGTGGTTGCCAAGGATGATTACTACTAATACTGTGAAATGTCCAAAGGAGACAATTTAACTGGCCACAAATCTTAAAAGAAGCAAAAGACCCCATACTGATAACCTTCATTATTAATTCAAAGGCCATTAGAATTGGGGTCACTGCTTATTTACTAGAATCATAGGCAAGATTGGAAATTATGATCTGGAGAGATCGGAAAAAAAAACCCAAACCAAGTGCAGCAATACTCAAACTGACTTCTTATCTGAAACTCTCACAGCACCAGTAAGAAATGAGGGGAAATGAAAGCCACAACAGCTCATGTGGTCCTGGAAAATGTCAATATTATCAGCAGTAGATCAGGGTCCTCACTTTACATGGATTTTAGACCTACTATTCTTTCTCTGTGGTGACAGTATATTTTGTTGTGTTGCTTTGACATTTTCTTGCATTCTCCACAGTAGGTGTCCACACAGCACATATAAAGGAACATGATAGGAACTGAATAACTAAGTGATGGGAGGCATCACAACAGGCCCAGCTATGATGCTTGAGCTGGAGCAGGACTCTTCTACTCAGATTTCTCATAGCAAACCAGTTGGAAGACAAACACAGTCAAAAACAGAGAAAGGTTAAGAATGGACAGAAAAACAACATCATTCTCAAGGGAGCATTTAGCTCCTATATAAAGTTCCCAAGCATAGAAAGTTTATGCCATTTACGACATAAGCAATGCCATTTAAATTTTCCATGAGACAAAACTAATCAACAGCTTACTGAAGCAGAAACAATTCTGCTACTCATTCTACATACATTTCTGCTGAAAACAAGCAGAATTTAAAACAAAACAAAACAAAAAAAAGCACATCTGACATTTTCTGATTTCTTGTCAGGCTCCTGGCAACCTTGTCCTTCCTGACTTCTGGCTCCAGGGTATCCTGCTGGGAGTGTCTGCCCTGGCCTAACTACTCTGCTCAAGATGAGGTCTCCTAAGGTTGCTGCAGCTCTGAGCAGCCTGCCAGAGGGACTCTGGAATCAAGGCTCCCAGAGGTGTTAGGGGAATAACAACAATAATTATATTCCACAAAAGGCTCTGAAGCTCTTTCTGTGCTTCAAAATTGCAGTCAACTGAAACTTCAGAATGAAGGAATCCACAAAATTAAAATCCACATTTTCTGTTCAGTTTTTAATAACAGAGTAAAAATGGAGTTGATCACTTTGTGCCTGAAGTTTTGGCTGATCAGCTTTTAATGCACTTCATCTTCCATTAAAACTTTGGTTTCAGGTCATTTAGTTTCTTCATAAATACTTGGTTCTGTGTATCTACTTTTCCCAGGCTCTCAAATTTCAATTAGACAAGGCCTTTTCAACAGAGTATGGTTCTAAGTGTCAGTGTTTTTATTATTTACAGCTCACAGACCACTTAAGCCAGACTCTGGAAGAGGCTTACTGGTCTCACAAGTCACTCTTATTATTTCAAACAGCTCAGGCTGCTTCTGACAGATTTATTCACAACTTGCAAATAATAAGATGAAATGCATCCATTTTTTAGTTATAGTTGAAATTCCTCAGAGAAAGATCATGTTTTATCCATTAAAGTTTAGGCATTCATGAATCTACTTAATATTAAAGCCATTTTCAAAAAGCTTATGTCAAATTGAAATGAACTTGTAATGTACTCAGAGACACTCAAACTAATATATTCTAAGTTTAGGTGGGCTATGAATAGGCCCTGATTTAAGAATTCACTTTCTTTTCCAGTCTGTTAGAGGCTGCTTTTCGGCATTTTCCTTAGCTCATGCACCCAAAGCTTGTTCTGGTATTGACAGTGGTTTCTTAAAAAGATGACTGATGATGCTTCAAGAAAGTTGCTAGATTTTTTTTAAAATATTTTGTTTGATGAAATATAGATTTACATCAAAACAGGAACTCATTGTTAGACTGGGATTTCAAGGCCATCTTCATCCGTGGGTCTTTTGGTCTTACTTGATGAAATCCACTGATAGCACTCACAAAAGAGCCATCCATTTCAGTAGGATGAAGATGCTGTATCTCAGTCCCTCACCTTGAACAACTCTTCTCCCAATATGGCCTATATTGTCCATTTAATTGACTTTAAAGTTGGACAGTACTCATTCCGAATTTGTCTATATGAATTGCAGGGCACTATATTATTGTCATCGTCATTAATAATCTTCCGATATTTTCCAATTAGGTGCTTACATTTTTCAGTGTAAAAGAATGCACAGGCACATCCACTGTTTTACAGAAAATAAATAAAATACTGTGCAAAATTTCAGTTTTGAAGCTTGAAGAAAAAGGTTTTTCAACCCTAAAGTTTTCTTCTAACACTAACAATAATCATATGCATAATCTGACAGTCAGAAGATTATCTAGATCAGCAGTTATTAAGTACAAGTTTACAAGTTCAAGATTATATTAAATCAGTGCAAAAAAGTACATAAATAAAAATATCTAAAGCCAGAAGCGACACAACCTAGATCCAATTATCCATCAGTAAAAGTCATTACTTAGACACAGCAAGCCTTTACAGTCATGACACAGTGTTCTACAATGTCCTTGTCTATCTACTGACTTTGCTGGTTTGTTTACATTAAAAAGTCACTGTGTTTACTTTAAAAAGCCACTGCATTTTGGAAGGGATGATAACAAATAAGATTAAAGTAAAAAAACCCCAAAACACAAAAGAGCATGGTTGGTTCTGTTTAAAATTGATCGTAAGCTAAAGGCACATATAACACAGCTTCAATAGAAGTATATCACACAGTTGTGTAGACAGTTTCTATGACTAATATGTTCAGAAATTTAAAACGTATTTTTTTATCTGAGTGATGATCTTTTTCTGGTTGAAATTCACATCTGCATGCATATCAAGTGAGCCGGCATGAACTTGTGTTCTGTGCCAGGGAATAATGAATGTACAAAATAACTCTTGCAAAGGCATAAGGGCAGTAACGAAAAAGAAATCTAGTATCCTGTATATTAGCAGGAATAAAACAATTTGGGGGTGTGTGTAGGAGGTAGGTGCTTCGAGACCCTAAGCATTTGAATACAATGCAAGTTTCAGATTCAGCGGCTGGTTCTGCTGGCTCTGTGACAGGGAGCAGTGCTGCGTGCTCCTGAAAGGCAAGGGACAGATTGGAAATTTCCATACCAGATAGAAGGCAGGTGAACATATTGTTTAGGCAGTTCGCCTCTCAAGCTAAAACAGAAAAACTAGAGCATGCATTCATAACGTGGGCTGAACACCAAAATCCTACTCAGGTATTAAATGGAGGTGAGTTGACCCTTTCCAAAACAAAGCAAACTATGCACAGATTTGATAAATTCTCTTCTCACACTTCCTCTGGGGGAAATCGCACGAGAATTTAGCTGTGGATTACTAAACACACAAAGCAGAAAGCTCTCCAAAGCTAAACACAGCTGCTAGCTGGGAGAATATTACGAGACAGTATCATACATGCCTACTCTTCTTACTGCTCCCTCAGGCATTTGCTTATGGCCACCTTTGGAGATAGGACATTGAAACAATCCTTGGTCTAACCCAAGTTGGCTGCTTTTCTGCTTCCAAATATATTTTGCTTTCTTAACTGTGATGAATCATACTAGCAGTAGGTAAAAGAAGCAGAAACATATTAATTCTGTATCAGCTGTTGTGCCGTTCAGACTGTTTTTATTTACTGAAACAGTAAATACTTGAAACAATACTAAATAAAAATTTTGTGGTGCTGAGATGGCATTTCTGCTGTGCCATTGAGTACTTCCACTGTGCAGGAACATACATAAGCAGATGAACTCCAGTATGAACTGGGGAACTGTGTCCTTGCAGTCTAATGCCCATCA